CCTCTCCTGATTGGCCGGCGCCGGAGCAGGGTCATTAGTCATTGCAGCTGGTCCCAGCAGCACCGCCTGGTTCTGCCGCTGCTCCGGGCCTGCAGCTGAAATGCAGGGGGTGTGGCCAGCGAGGCCTAGACGCTATCTCGGGGGGGGGGGCGGGGGGGTCAGGGGGCCCAGACCACGCGGCCAGCAATGCGCCAGGGGGGACGGCCACCCTGGGGCGGCGTCCAGCACCAGTTTTGCCTGTTGCTAGGCACCCGGGGCTTTCTGCCCCAGGGACCTTCCGTACCTGGCTGTGAATTGCTTGGCCAGTGTGTTCAGCTACCTGCCTCGGTTTCCCCACTCCGCTTGCCGAGGAATCTTCCTCGCTTCTGACCATCCCGGGTCAGCGCGGCCGTCCGCATGCTGCCCTCTGGCCCCCAGCTGGGCCCCGCCCCGCCCATGTGTGCAGACCCTGGTGGGGCCACCTGCTGCCCCGCCCGCCGAGGCCCCCGTGCCCCACCTGGCTGCAAGCCCCTGAGTACTGCCTGCAGCCCCCAGCAGGGCCCCCCTCTGCCGCCCACCCAGGTGTCAGCGCAGAGGCCAGTGCCTGGCCCGTCTGAGAACCCGCAGCTGTGGGAGGGGCAGGAGCCAACCCAACAGAAGCAGGTGGGCGGCGATCAGAATGAAGGTACCCACGTGGCGAGGACCCGTGGGTACCACAAACTCAGTGGCTCGGCACAGCACGCACTCTCCCAGTCTGTGGGCCAGAAGTCTGCCGCGGTCTCCCGGGGCTAACCCAAGGTGCGGGCTGGGCTGGTTCCCCGGGGAGAACCCACATCCTCGCCTTTTCTAGCTCCAGACGAGCCCCGTCCCCTGGCCTGCGGCCCTTCCCCCGTCTTCCAAGCCAGCGATGGCAGGCGGGTCCTCACGTCCCATCTCTCTGGCCCTTTTCCCATCAGGGCGGCTCCCTCTGAGTACGGCCAGCAGAGATGCTCTGCTTTCAAAGATGCATGTGGTAGACTGGTCCCGCCTGGATACCCCAGGCCACTCCCCCATCTGAAGGTCCGTACCCTGACCCACACCCCAAAAGGGATAGCTCGGAGCCTAAATGAGGTGACACATGCCACGACCCCATGCACTGGTGGTACGGGCTCAGTCAAGTACGTTTCAATATCTCATTTGTTGTCCTAACTGAGGAGGAGGGGCAGCCCAGAGAGGTCAGCCACATGTCCAAGGTCACACAGCCAGGAAGCGCTGTCACAACTTTCTGCTCTGTCCCGAGCGCTGTGTGGTGGATGGAGAACATCGCCAATGAACGTCCAGCCAGCAGACCCTCCGGAACAATGTGTGCCTGCCTCCTGCTGGGCCCAGGCTCCCAGGAGGGGTGCACACAGCGCTCCCCACACGTCCTCTTGCTTATCTCAGCTATCACAGCAGGACTGATCCAGATACCCTGTCTCTCCTCTCGGGCTCCCTTTCTGGGACACTGAGGCACTTGTTGGTGGTCTTCTAGGGTCAGGACTTAGCCAGCCCAAGCCCAAACACCCGGCACCAACACATGCTAGCTGCGTGGTCTCCAGCTAATTCCTTAACCTCTCTGGACCTCAACTTTCTCATCGGCACCATATTCTCATGTTGGATATGAGGGTCAAAAAAGGTTGTGGGAGAGGGTGAGGATATTTGGAAATCATGGTGGGTCATGCTCACCAGCGTCAGAACAAACCACCATATGTCGAGGGCGTATGTGGCAAGCCCTGTGCTTGGCGGGCCGTCCAGCGTAATCCCGTCCCTCCCCGAATGCGGGGGTCCGTGCTACCGCTGGCTCCGGATCCTCGGCGATGACATCAGAGCTCGGGAAGATTAACGCAGCATTAGGAGCTGGAGGCAGCACAGCCTCGCGAGGCCCAGGCTTCCCGGAGCCTGTGTGTCACCCTTAAGCCACATCGCCTCCGGACGGGACCTCTGTCCTGGGGTGGGCTCGTGAAACACAAACACCATTCTCAGCCTCCTTTCCGATGTAACATTTGTTATTTTATTGGAAAAAGCTGGTATTCACATATTTATAATTTTATTCAACAGCTGGATAATTTGTGAGACACCAAAGAAAACAATGCACCCATGAGTTACAGAGTCCAAAATGACCAGGTCTGTGCACCCCCAGCAGCAGAGGTCCCACACGCCCAGAGCTCCAGGTCTGTGCGCCCCCCAGCGGCCCAGGTCCCACACGCCCAGAGCTCCAGGTCTGTGTGCCCCCAGCGGCCCAGGTCCCACACGCCCAGAGCTCCAGGTCTGTGCACCCCCAGTGGCCCAGGTCCCACACGCCCAGAGCTCCAGGTCTGTGTGCCCCCAGCAGCAGAGGTCCCACACGCCCAGAGCTCCAGGTCTGTGCACCCCCCAGCAGCAGAGGTCCCACACGCCCAGAGCTCCAGGTCTGTGCGCCCCCCAGTGGCCCAGGTCCCACACGCCCAGAGCTCCAGGTCTGTGCACCCCCAGCAGCACAGGTCCCACACGCCCAGAGTTCCAGGTCTGTGTACCCCCCAGTGGCCCAGGTCTCACACGCCCAGAGCTCCAGGTCTGTGCAACCCCAGTGGCTCAGGTCCCACACGCCCAGAGCTCCAGGTCTGTGCACCCCCCAGTGGCCCAGGTCTCACACGCCCAGAGCTCCAGGTCTGTGCACCCCCAGCAGCAGAGGTCCCACACGCCCACAGCTCCAGGTCTGTGCGCCCCCTGGTGGCACAGGTCCCACACGCCCAGAGCTCCAGGTCTGTGCGCCCCCTGGTGGCACAGGTCCCACACACCAAGAACTCAGTCCTCAGAGAGCAGCATCAAAATAAAGACAAAACCCAACTGCTTCACAAGGACCACGCAAACGCCCACAGTCAAGAAGAGCAGGACATCTGAACTGTCAGGGAGCAACCCTGGCGACTTTCACGGGTCCTTCTGCCATTTCCAGTCTGCCCCTCCACCCTCCGCACCTTTGCTCAACACACATTTGATTACTCCTGGTTTGCTTTGGACATTATTTCCCAGACGGGCTTTTCTTCTGAAAAGATCGTGTTCTTTCTTGTCCTCTTCTGTCTGTTCTTTCTTTCCTCTTCCGTCTGACTCAGCATCCAAAGCTGAGAACAGAAGCATGAAACCAGGACCTGTAGGAAGACCGCGGTTTGCAGACAGCCTCAGATCTGTGCTGGGCAGGCAGGAAGTTGAATCTAGGATCTGACGGTCACCTCCAGCTGCCAAGGGGAGCTTCCTCACAGCATCTCAACCCCAAAGGGAAGGGCTGTGCCAAACATCCCAGGAACTGGGTAAGGCCCTCAGAGCTGGATTTTGGCCTCAAGATTTCTATACGATTCACCACATTCTGGAACCTTTTTACCAAGGGGGGAGGGGAAGCCGATCCTGTGACTGTTCAACTTAATTAGGATCGATATGTACATCTAATACTGTCCTGGTGACCTGGGTTTGACAGGGGTATGTAAACAAACATTCTTCATTCCTGTTGATTAAAAACAAAACCAGCGGACCCCTTTCCTTGTGTCAATAGCGTGTGGCCAGAAGTGAGGGCACGTGTGTTTTGTGCTTTGATACACACAAAGATACACCGTCATCCACTGAGGAGAATCTCGGGGGGGGGGGGGGGGTCTATTTCCTGCGTCAGGTTACCTCTTGGGAGAGGAAAAAGAAGTGGGATTTGGTGGGGCCTGTGCAGGCTGCCTTCTGACTCAAAGAGCACAGCCATGGTCCCGCTGCCCTTCCTGGGCAGAGTCAACAGGTGGGCGGTTGGCGGGGTGGGCGGAGCTGGTCTTGGCCGCCGCGACCCTGGGGGGAGTGTCCCCAGACTGTGCAGTCGCTAAAGAAAAGGTAGCTAAAATGGTCATAACATGCAATTTTCTCCTGGAGGCAGGCAGTTCAGTGCGTCGGAAAAGGGGCCAGGTGCCTGGGGGGTGGAGGAGGGCGTGGCGGAGGGCCGAGCTCCCAAAGCCTCAGACAGCGCAAGGAGCCACCAGGGGTCTTTCCGTCCTCCCTCCTGCACCTGGGTTCTCCTGAGACCCTGTCGTCGTCCCACACTCTGTCCTGCTTCACAGCTGAAGAGAACCTTCCAGGCTAGACAGTGGTTTCGCTGTGAGCCACCAACACGGAAGGAAAGCAAAGCCCTGGACGGGGCTCCTGACACCACCACTTGGTGGGCGCACGCATGCCTTGGCAAACCGCAGACCACGCGGGGCCTCCGCTTCCTCATGTGTACAGTGGGCATGATACATCAGTCACCTGTTCATCCCTGGCCCCTGGCACAGAGCCTGGCACTCAGTGCACAGGTGGTGTGGTTGGAGGCATGACGAGGACTCCGGAAGGTCGTGGGCAGAGCCAGTGTGGTTCCCACGAGGGACCCAGTGACTGGCAGAGTGATGGGTGCCCAGGGATCAAATCGGACCAGGCCTGGCACCCGGCTGGTGCCGCAGCAAAGGCTGGCTAAGTCAGGTGACAATAACAGGCACACACGAGACGATTTCACTCCCCTTCCACTCAGACACCTCACAGACCTGGGCACTGAAAGACATGGAAAGAACCTAAAAGACGAGCCTGTGTCCCCAAAGTCTCAGCACGAACTCACAGTCCAAAACGCGCAGGAGAGCCCTCCGCTCTGAGACCGTGGAAAGGACTCCCTTTGTGTCAGAGGACCCCTGGCTGGCTTGTCCGAGTTCCCTGTCCGTCCCCAGAGCCCTGATCTGGAGCCAGTGAGGCACATGACTGTGCCAGCTCCCATCGGAGCCGCCGGAGTGAAAAATGAACCCAGAAATGTAAAAACCCTAACGATGTGGTAAAGATGGCCCGCGGATCAGTGCGAGAACGCAGAACCTGAACTCCAAGGCCGACAACGCGTCCATTCTGCCATCTGTGGCTGCGACTCCTTTTAAACAATTACCAGCGACCGCGCCTGGCCGAGGGAGGCCTGGGGAGGGGCCGGCGTCTTCCAGCGGCCGCCTGACCCTAGGGGCCAGCTGCAGGCCTGCTCCGGCGGGCTCCACACCTAGCGCATCTCGGAGTTCACCTTGTCCTGGAAGATGTACAGGTTGTTGGTGGCCGCGATGGCGATGATGTTCTCGGCCGGGTGCCAGGCCGTGTGCAGGATCTTCTTGGTGAAGTCCAAGCTGTCCACGCTGATGTCGTCTCGCCGGCGCTTGCCGCCCACGCACACGCGCCGCGGCTTGAGCACGGCCCGGGGCTTGCTGCTCTCCCGCGAGGCCTCCAGGGTCACGTCCCGCTTGGTGTTCCGGTCGAACATGCGGAAGAAGTTGTTGTAGGCCCCGGTCATGATGACGCTGGCGGAGGAGGACAGGCGTCAGGCGGGGGCTCGGGGAGAGAGGGCTGCCCCTTCTGGAGCTATAACCCCCGGAAAGGGAGCCACGGGAGGGGCACAGGCCAGGCCTGCCTGGTGGCACCTTCCCACCCCCCCATCTCAGCTGCCACAGACGCACGGCCCGGAGCTAAGACCCCTTGAGCTCCGCCCCAAACATCAACAATGTTCTCCGAACCTTCCCCTGTGGCCCAGGAGCCAGAGCCCAGGCCCTCAGGAGCCGGGCCACAGGGCCGCAGGGACGCAGACGCCGGGCTCAGCGAGCCTGACCACGCAGGCCGCGCCGCCAGACCCGCCTTCCAGCCGGCCCAGGCCCTCTGCTCTCGGGGCAGGGAGTGAACACGTGAGCGCTCTTTGCACACACGTGTCCTGTCCGTCTGTCCATCCACTGCTTCTCACTATGAGAACAAGGGGACACTCCGCTCTCCTTTCGGCCCCTCGGAGTTTGGACCCTTCCCAGAAAGGACTCTCAGCTCGGGGCGGCACGCTTGGGCCAGGAATTCCCTTTCGGCTCCCACCCACGGGCTTGGGGCTCTGCCACACAGCCTGGGCGGTGCCCACAAGGCGAGCCCCCCACCTGCAGTGTGTGTTTGGGGGTCACCTCCCCTTGATACTCAAACTGCTTTCTCTGACCTGTGTTCAGAGATGGGGGGTGTTTGGGGGCGAACCCCTCCATACACTGGCTCTTCCAGGGGGACCCAGGTGAGCGGAGGGGCCCCTGTGATGCTGTCTGGGGATGGGGGACAGTCGATCGGTTCCCAGAGAGCGTCATGTCCGGAGACGGAGGGAGGTGGACAGAGAATTCCAATGCATTTTCTGGCTCGTTTTTTTTGGTCACGAAATTCTGCCCCTAAAACCTTAATTCATGTGGACAGAACGATTTGTTGTTGGGACGATTAAATGTGTGTGGAAGACAAGGTGGCGGGTGGGGTGCTCGAGGTGTGCGGAGCCCCCTGGTGTGGAGAGAGCACCTGCCGCCTCCCACCAGCCTTGTCTGGGGAGGGCTGGGCTGGCTCGTGTCCCTCGTCCTGACCCCCAAGGCTTGACTGAGTGTGACCTCAGTGTGGTGGCAGGGAGTCAGCTGAGCCTGAAAGCACCCCAGATCCAGAGACGGCCTGGCGACTCAGCCACTGCACCCAGTGTCTGCCCCCCGGCCAGGTCATCACCAGGAGTGACCAGCGGCTCAGAACAGAGACCAGGCTGGGAGGAGGAAGTGACAACAAGGTCCCCGACCCAGAGCTGTTCTCCTGGAGGAGGACACAGCAAGGGGGTGGTGAGGGCCCCCAGGGCTGGGGGTGGCTGTGTACACTGCACAGCAGGAAGTGGGCACCAGTCAGCAAGGCGGAGCCTGGTGGCTCCTGTAACAGGGAGCAGGCATCACGTGCTCACGCACTCCCCCTGGTGGTAGTGTGAAGGGAGGTCAGGCATGGTGACAACCTGTGCCCTCCCAGCGCGCGCCCTCCCCCCCCTCCCCCTTCCCCGCCCCCACCCACACACACACAGTGGGAGTTACCCTTTGCCAGCATTAGGAATAAAACCTCACGCCCTGGACGGTTTGGCTCAGCGGTTAGATCATTGGCCTGCGGTCCGGAGAGACCCGGGTTTGGTTCCCGCTAAGGGCATGTACCTCGGTTGCAGTTTGTCCCTGGCCCTAGTTGGGTCGTGCAGGTGGCAGCCACTCGATGTGTCCCTTTCACGTCGATGTTTCTCTCTTCCTCCCACTCAATCTCAACAAAATGTTGAAAAGTGTCCTCGCGCCCTGGCCGGTTTGGCTCAGCGGTTAGAGCATCAGCCTGTGGTCCTGAGAGACCCGGGTTCGGTTCCCGCTAAGGGCGCGTACCTTGGTTGCAGTTTGTCCCCGGCCCTGGCCAGTTGTGCGGGTGGCAGCCACTCGATGTGTCGCTTTCACATTGATGTTTCTCTCTCTCTCTCTGTTCCTCTCTCTCCCTCCCACTCTACCTGAACAAAGAATGGAAAAATGTCCTCGGGTGAGGATAAAAAAAAAAAAGAAAAGTGTCCTCGGGTGAGGATTAAAATTAAAAGAAGAATAAAACCTCACCCCATGACCCCCTGGCAGTGCTTCCCAGAGAACCCCCATGTGGTAGGGCCTACAGCTCAGGGGTACCCGAGAAGCCTTCCTCACGGTGGGTGTCGGGTCAGCCCGGGTGCAGCACCAGGAGGGAGTGCCGGTGTCCCTTCGCCCAGCCTCAGGCTGGTGCCTCCATGTGGCTCTGTAAGCATCCTGGTCCCCCTAGAGCACAGCCCTGCTCGGAGACCCCACGGCCAGGATGTCACAGTGGCTGCAGGAGCTCCCCACTCCTGAACATACAGCTTTACCCCACGTGGCCCAGCCCCAGTCCTATCCTGTGGCTTCCGCCCCCTCTCCCCAGACTGGCCTACCTTACAGTCCCAGCGTGCCCGTGCCAGAGCCACACAGACAGGCCGGAGCAAGGAGCACTCATGACGCAGCAGTGCTGGCCCGGCCCAGAACCCAGGGAGCCCAGCCGGCCCCCCCTCCGTGACTGATTTGGGCACAGCCTGGACGACAGGTGGGTGTGGGCTGCGGCTCATTCTCTCCCACTACACTGGACTGGGCCGCAGGGGGCCGAGGGACAGGGGACTGGCTCCGATCGTGAGAATGTAGTGGATGACACCCTGCTGCACGGGCCCATGTTGTTCGCGTGCTGGGTCATCCCTGTCCACACCCGCCCTGGGCTGGGCCAGGCGCAGGCCACTTCCCAGGTGGGCGGGGCCTTGAGAGGCCCTGGACCTGGGGACCCCACCAGCCCCCAAAAGTGCAGGGACTGAGATGTGCTCCCCCAGCCCCAGTGGGCCTGGAGGGGGGGGGTGCCACAACAGGTGGCGGCCACAGCATCGATGGCGGGAGGAAGGATGAGTGGACTAGTGACTAAAGCTCTCCGCCCCGCAGACGCCCCAGCACCGGGAACACCCTCGCCCTGACAACCTGGGATGTCTCCCCACCACTCAGGAGAACACGGAGGCATGAGGGCTGTAGCTGAGAGTTGTAGCTGAGAGCTGTGCCTGGGGGGTGTACCTGGGGGCTATGCCTGGGGGCTGCACCTGGGGGCTGTACTTGGGGGCTGTCCCTGGGGGCTATACCGGGGGGCTATACCTGGGGGCTGTATTTGGGGGCTGTACCTGGGGGCTATACCGGGGGGCTATACGTGGGGACTGTAGCTGGGGGCTGTCCCTGTAGCTGGGGGCTGTCCCTGTAGCTGGGGGCTGTCCCTGGGGGCTGTCCCTGAGGGCTGTACCTGAGGGCTGTAGCTGGGGGCTGTACCTGGGGGCTGTCCCTGGGGGCTGTGCCTGAGGGCTGTACCTGAAGGCTGTACCTGAAGGCTGTCCCTGAGGGCTGTAGCTGGGGGCTGTACCTGAGGGCTGTACCTGGGGGCTGCACCTGGGGGCTGCACCTGGGGGCTGTACCTGAAGGCTGTGCCTAGGGGCTGTAGCTGGGGGCTGTGCCTGGGGGATGTACCTGGGGGCTGCACCTGGGGGCTGTACCTGAAGGCTGTGCCTAGGGGCTGTACCTGAAGGCTGTACCTGGGGCTGTGCCTGAGGGGAGCTGTGTGTCCCGCCCTGAGCTGAGCTGCGGGTTGCTGCCTGCCTACAAGGGTGGCCAGCCCCTTCCCAACACCTCGACTCATCGAGGCGCATTACCGCATCTGGGTTAAACACTGCCCGGGTCACAGAGCCCCGCGGGTGAGGGCGAGGGTACCTGTCGCTCCCGTTCCAGGCGCACTCGAACTTGTCGAAGATGCAGTCGTTCTCGTACAGGGAGCAGAGCTTGCTCCGGAGGTAATCGTGCACCTGGCGGGAGAAGGGTCTAGGTAGTTGGGGGGCACCTTGCCTGGCAGTCCTGATGCCCTCCACGGAGAGGGGTCTCACTGAGCAGGAGGGGCTGTGCCCTCAGGGTTCGGTGGCACTCCCGAGTCAGCCCTGCTCACCGAGAAGGTTCTACAGCCTGGCACATGGCCAACCCCGGGGCTGTGGCCAGAGAGGGGATGGTCACAGTGACGAAGGGGACCAAGTCCTGGCTCCGCCCCCCCAGCTGTGTGATCCTGGACAAGTGACTTCACCTCTCTGAGCCTTGCTTCTTTCCTCCTTAAAGTGATGAGTGCATTCCTCACAGGCTGTTCTGGGAGCAATGCGGGGCACTGCCCGGGGCAGGGGCAGGCCTTCTGAGGGCAACAGCCACCTGAGCACAGTGGTGGCCATCGCCATGGTGGAGACAAAGGAAAGCGAGCCGCCCTGCCCCAAGCAGGGGCCCCCGGCCAACCACAGACGCCTCCTAGTGCTCTCCCTGCATCTGCCCCCAGCCCCCGCCATCTCCACAGGCAGCCAGAGGGATCCCTTTGACACTAAGCTGGATCATGTCACACCTCTGCTCAAAACCCTCCATGGCCCACGAGTCCCCCGGGCTATGCCCCACTACCCCTCTGACCCCAGGCTCTTCTTCTCTCCCCTTTGTCCACTCTGTTCCAGCCAGTCTGTTCCAGCCAGCTCCACAACAATCCTTAACCACACTCTCCCCTTTGTCCAGTCTGTTCCAGCCAGCTCCGCAACAATCCTTAGCCACACCACTGTCCCTGCTTCAGGGCCCCTGGGAACACCGTCTCAGATCGCTCACGCCCTTGCTTCCCTTAGGCCTCGGCACCCAGTAAACACGTGTGGCTAACAGAGAGGTCACCAGGAGCCGGGATGGTCCTCTCACCAACCCATCCACGGAAGGAGAAGCTCGGGGAAGGGGTCAGACGGCCCTGAGGGCATGTGGCTTCCGGGAGCACCCCATTCTCCGCGCTCAACTTTGTATCCCTTCTCACTGGGGCCCCTTTTGCACCCCTCCCAGGGCACTGCCCTCCCCCAGGCCTTGCCAGGGAGGGGGGTAGGGAAGGGAGGTGATAGGGCTCCAATGTGGGCTCAGAGTCTGCCATGGCCCCACTGTGAGGCAGCTCCCACACATCCCAACCTCTCAGAACCCCAGCTCCCCTTCTTCCAAATGGGGCTGATGGAACCCCTTCCTGGGGACAGTAAGGAACAGAGGTGACAGCTGTCGAGCAGGTGAAGCCTCGTGTACACCTTGAAACACCATGAGGGTCTAGCTGGGACTTTTCAGGGCGGAGGTGCATAACCAAATCCCACTCATCCCCTGAGGTCCAGCACAAACGCCACCTCCTCCAAGAAGCCTCCCCAGTACCCCCAGCTAAAAACGTAACTGGAAACAGCTTTAAAGCAATTTTACAGAAGTCTGATATTTCTTTCAAATCCCTGTTTTATTTTAACATCCCCTGAAAACGTTGTCTTCTACTCCCTAATATATCTGGATGAATCATCACAGAAAAATAATAAAGACTTTGTGGGGAGGTGCCCCATGCTTTATCCCATAGGCCTGGCTTAAAAGGCGGTGCCCAGGTGGCCGCTGCGTGCCCTGAGGACGCTCCCTGGAAAAGACAAAGCTCGCCAGCTTAATGGCAGGCCTGCGGACGCTGGCTCCCGGGGAGGGATGCCTTCATTCTACCCGTAAAAGTCCCCCCACGGGAGTTCTCGCACGGGGAAGGGTGGCTGGGGGTCTCCCACCAGCAGAGAGGCCCCAAGGTTGTCCACGCCACAGCCCACCTGGTAGGTCTCGATGGGCCTCGCCTCCATGTTCAGGTCCCAGACCTTGACGGTGAGATAATCCCGGGTGAGCATGTACCGGCCGCTGTGGCTGAACTTCACATCGGACACAGAGGAGATGATTTCGGAGAAGAAGGAGCGGTTGCTGGGGTCCTCGGGCTCCTCAAAGACTGCAGAGACAGAAAGATCCTCGAAACAACACGCACCTGTTTCCACCCTGCGGGCCTGCTGTGCGGCCAATCATTCCTCAAACCCGTAACCAAGTACCTGTCGGGCATCGGCCCAGAACGATCCTGCAGAGGGAAGAACCAGCAATGTTTATTGATCGCTGACTCTGAGCCAGGGTTCGTGCTGAGCCCTTTCTCTTCATTACTGTGTCTAATCCCCAATAAAAATGGTGTTTTTATTCCCACTCCGTAGCCGAGGAAACTGAAGCATAGGTGGTTGAGAACCTGCTCGAGGTCTCAGAGCTGGAAGGGAGGAGGGGTCGGATCTGAGCAGAACAGCCCTGGATGGCTGCACTCCACTGCCCCCTAGTGGTGACGCTGAACGCCAGGACCGGGAGGTGTCCTGACATCCTCCAATGTGCTGGGCCACGTCCTGACCTGGCTGGGCACTGCCGGGGCTCTAAGTGGCCCGGGGCCTCTGTTCACGGGGCACTGAGCACTCATGGCCAAGCCCTGCTTGAAGGCTTGTTCTGTTCGGGGACTGTAGCAAAATCAAACCTCAATACCCCAGATGGAGCCAAAGTCCCGTTTGTCATCCGCCACCTCCCTCCTACTATCTTAGACCAGCTGCTCCACACAGGAAGTTGCTTACCTGACCCCAGTCTTGGACACAGGGGTAGTGCCCCCTCCCCTCCGGTTCCCACACAGCAGGACAAGCTCTTCCAAGCTCAAGTCCATTGCTGGTGGTCCTCCCAGTTTGCTCACTAGCGCCCTCACTGGCCAGTCGGGTCCTGCAGTGGTCCTGGGGTTGGAGCAGGATTGGAACTAGGGTCCCTGGGGGTCAAGCATTAGCTCCTCAGGACCTGGCCAACGATGGGCCTGGGATCAGACAGGAAGATAGGGTAGGGGGTTGGCAGCCACTGACCAGCCAGTCTGGAAGGACTTAGACATCTGACAACCTGTCCAGCTGTCCTCACGGACACCAGCCGAGTGGCTGCCCTGCCCGCTGGCCCGTTCTGAGCCTCCGTGCTGAAACAGGGAGCAGACAGCTGGTCACCCCTCCCCAGAGGCTCAAGAGAGTGCCCCCCCTGCCAGCCCCTCCAACTTCCCAGGACTGTCCCAGCCCTGTAACTCGCATCTGAGTGCCCATTCTCCCTGTTGTCCACAGTAGATGCTATTCCCGCCGTTCCCACCTCTCCCGAAACACAGCCCTGCCCAGCTCTCCTCTGCGGTGTGGCCGGAAACACATCACGTGGGTCAGATGCTCTCTGGTCATCATCATTCCTCATTCAGTCCCTTGGACCCCTCGCCCCTCGGTGGTGTTCCCTGACCAGCCCCCACGTAAAGCACTCGGGTTGGTCCAGCTCGCTTCGCCCCTACACCCTTGTGGGGTTAGGTCAGCGACAGGGCCCAAGTCACAGCGGTGGGCGTGTCACCCCTGGATGTCCCAGAGCCAGGGACTGTGTCTTCGGCCAGCCTCAAGGGCCAGGTGGAAGGCCAGCAGGAAGGTCTGACCAACAGCTGAAAACGGACACCACATGGCCCACCGTGACCTCAGCCCAGCTGAACTCAGCCCACGTGCCGGGTGTTTAAACACCAAGGGTCAGAACTGCCAAAGGTTACCGGGGAGGGATTTTAACAAGCCTGAAAAACATTTATACCTAACAGTTCTTATTTTTCTTTTTAAACATTTCTAGGACCTGTCTGACAGGATCGATCGTCTTTTTATCAGAGGACTGCAGAGTCCCATAGGCTCTGTTCCTATCCGCCCCCGTGCGCCCCTCCCCCATCACATACACAACTGCAGTCTCCCAGGGTTAGTGAGAGACACGGGGCTCCCGTCTAATTGATGGACTCACTGAGGACATTTCACAGTAATTACTGCTGCTACGGGTTGAAAGGAACCCCCCGAGCCCCTGTCTAGTGATGGGCTCAGCCCCACCTCCCCCACCGTAGTTGTTTTAAGGTTGGAGGGCTCTGGGTCAGCAGAAACCCCTATTCTACTTCTTTGAAATGGTTTTGCATAATTAAGCTCTTTCGGACCTAGCTGGTTCCCTGACAACTTCCCCTTGGGCGTCTCATGGTGTCACACGCAGTGCACGAGTGAGAAGCACCCCCAAACAGCCAAAGTGACGAAAGGGCCTGGGGAGCCCCCGAGGCTCCGAAGCACCTGTGCATCCAAAGGCAAAGGCCGAGGTGCTCACTCTCCCCTCAGCCCCCACACAAGGGACGGCACCCCTCTTTGTTTAAAACCCTGCATGGCTCCCAGCACCCAGAGTATCAAGGTTCTAGCTCCTACCTGTGGCTGACAAGCTCCCTCCTCATCAGCCCCCCACCCCCACCCCCGGCTTGCTGCTCCAGCCTCGCATACACAAGTCCAACCTGGGGCAGCCACACTCCAACCCCTTTCCTGCCAGGGCCCCAAAGCCTCCAACAGGGGGTGGCAAGCAAGGCCCGCAGGGTGCCACGCTGAACTCTCTCTCGGGGCACCTTGAACGAATGCCTCCTGCAGTGACTGCTGGCTCTCGCCCTGCCACGTGCCCGGCAGCAGGCAGAGCAAAGCCCTGTGCCCCTGGCAGGCCCCTTGACCTCTCTGAGCAGTTTCCTCACCTGGCGAAGTGATCCCTGAAGCCCCACCCTGAGGGACTGGGGCAGCTGCTTAATAATATTGTGGAACTGTTTTATAGTTATTTTTTCACGTTTTGTTTCCCTGAAATTTCCTGTCCCATTTTTAGCCCAGTCTTTCCTACCAACTCCTATACATCCTTCTGAACCTCAACTCAAATGCCCAGCTCTCTATACATCTTGTCCAGATGCTCCAAAGAAATGAAACGCTCACCCCTGTTGCCGGCACAGCCCCAGGGGGCCCTCTTGTATGGCACCAGGAGGTGTGTATGGTCCCCATGGTCCCCTTATCAGGCTGTGAGCTCCTGGGGACAGGGGTCTGGCCTGTCATGAGTCACCTAGCCTGGAGCCTGGCTCAGGTCCCGGCCGCTCACAGAGCAGACAGAAGCTCCAGGTGGGGCCTGTCGATGCCGCCTGCTCTGCTTTTCCTGACATGTCTCATCCCGTCCTGGTAGGGTTCCCCCGAGTTTGCAGGCCCAGCGGGGAGGCCCACGCCCGCTGAGCGGCTCTGGCTCTGCGCCCCTCTCAGTAGTGTACCGCTCCTGTCACCAGCTTGTGGGCGTGGAGGGGGAGGCAGGCGTTAAACTGATCGGGCGGAGTTGACCAGCCGGGGCTGGGGTGCGGGGAGTCGGGGTGACAAGGCAGAACGGCATCCGCCCAAGCCACCCTTTCAGGGACAACTGTGCCAGCAATGAGAACTTGGAGGGAACACACAGGCGGGCAGGGGTCTGCGGTCTGTGGAGCTGGAGGACACAGGAAGACTGGCCTATAGGGACGATGACGCCTGCCTGGATGCTGCTCCTGGTTGCCCTGGCAACAGGTCCCTCCTCTGCTCCGACAGTGTGCAAGGACGTGCACTTGAATGATGAGCACGTGCCCAGGCTGCCCCTTGGACTCAGGACAAGCCCAGGCCAGCCCCCCTTAGGCAGAGCTCTGGGATGAGCTGGGGGGAGGGTCTATGCAGCAGTCAGAGGGGGAGCGGGGTGTGGGTCACAGGCTACCCCGACACCTGGCACCCTGTCACTCCCACACAAAGCCACTGCTGGGGCAGGAGCCTCGGACACCGCGGCGTTCCTGCCCCAACCCCTGCGACCCCTGCCAACGGGAAGGCGGAGGCTGTGCAGAGTGGGGGGCACCAGGGCCAAGCACCAGTGTAGAGCTGACAGTCATCATTCTCTGCTTGTGACTGTCTTCTGCTCAGGACCGGGTGATGGATCCCATCAGAAAAATAAAATCCAATGCTAACTGGGACCCCTGGCATTGCGTGACCTGCCCCTACCTCTCAGTCTTTGCCCCGACAGCCTGCTGCCCCTTCACCCCCTTCCCTGCAGCCAGGCTCCCCCCGGCCGCCTGCAGGCTGTGGGCCCTCCCTCCCTGGGGCATCTCTGCCCAGTCTCGCTCCTTTTCGCTCTTCAAAGAGCCCCACTAACCATTTAATTGGAGCCAGGAGCGTCAGAGCACCGGTGACCCCGTCAGAAGCCCTCCCCACTCATCTGCTCCCCATGTCTCAGCCCGCTTGCCCCATAAAGGCAGGCCCCCCTCTGGGCAGAGTCCAGGCCAGCCCTCCCCTCGCCCCTGCTCACATTCCACGCAGGACCGAACCCTCCATGCCTCCGTCCTGCCCACCTGCTCAGAACACCAGCATCTTCCAGGGGAGCGAACACGCTGACCTCCCAGCCGGCCCCCACTTCCACCCCACCCCACAGATCGCTCCCCACTCAGCAGCCACGGGGACCCGCTGTAATACAGCCAGGCCACTCCTGCCAAAGCCCCTCCGGCTCCGTCCCTTCCGAGTGACCCCTGCTCTCCAGGTCTACAGGCCTCTGGGTGTGGCCCCGCCTTGTGCACAGGCTGCTCTGAGCTCACCTCCCACCTCTCCCCGCTGTGCTCCTGGCTTCAGGTCCAGCCACGGACCTTCTCGCTGGCCACCCCTCTGCTGGGAGACGGTCCTGGCTCTGCCCCCCAGATGTCTGGAGCCCCCCCGGTGGAAGGTGGCTGGATCTGGTCTTTCTACCCCAGATCCATCATGACCAGGGGTGAGTCCTATGAGTACGCCCCTCAGCCCCTTTAAATGAACCTGGCTCACCCACAATTCCCACAAGCGTTTTCAGTTCTCAAGACTTCTGTGAAGATTAAGCGAGAAAGAGCACAGGTCGATAGGCATGAAGCCTCTATCCTGGTTCTGCCTACCTGTGTGACCTTGAGAAAATGTCTTAACCTCTCTGTGCCTCGATGTGGTAAACAACGATGGCCCCTCGAGCTGTCCACATCCTAATCCTTGGGACCTGGCAAGTGTTGCTCATGTGGCAAAAGACTTTGCAGATGTGTTTAAAGACCCTGCTCCCCACATAGCCTCCTGTGGCCACAGAGCTTCTCCTGGGACGGAACCAGGAAGTCCCAGGGCAGGAGCCGAGATGGGTGGCCGAGAGGCTGGAGTGCTGTGCCCTGGAGGGGGAGGAGGACCATGGGCAGCCTCTAGAACAGCGGTTTTCAACCTTGGGTCGTGACCCCTTAGGGGGTCGAACGACCCTTTCACAGGGGTCGCCTAAGACATAACAGTAGCAAAATTACAGTTATGAAGTAGCAACAAAAATAATTTTATGGTTGGGGGTCACCACAACATGCGGAGCTGTATTACAGGGTCGCGGTGTCAGGAAGGTTGAGAACCACTGCTCTAGAAGCTTCCGGAAGGAGCACAGCCCTAGCAACACCTGGCCGGGAGCCCCCTGAGCTCCGGAGTTGTCAAAGAGCAGATCCGGGGAACGCCCGCCCTGTCTCCTGGTCTGGGAAGGGAAGGCCCTTCCGTAGCAGGTGCCCCTGGCGTGCTGTGCGCTCCCAGCCAGCACAGAACAGCGCGGCAGGGCCCGCCGGGGGCGGCCATGGTCATCCCAGCTGTGCTAAGAAGTCTCCGTGCCCTGGCACTGTCCTCCTTGGCAGATTCTGTACTGTTAAAAGCAGAAATAACCGTCTATTTTGAGGACTCATGTACAGTCGTTTCCATGGTTACACTGTCATAATGACTCGCAGACAAAAGACCTCGATTTCTACCACTTTGGAGAAAGACAGGAAGCGATGGGCCGGGCAGCAGCCTCCCGGACACCCCAGCTCTGCCCCGGACGGAGGCCTGGGAAGTCCTTGCTCTCCTCTGGGCCTCGGTTTCCCCACCTGTGATCGGGACGCCCTTCCTCAGTGCACAGAAACCACCGTCTCACCTGCTGGGAAACGGATGCCGTGAGCACGCACCTTGGGGTCACTCTCAGCCGGTCCCCGAGTTGTGAGCAGAGCTGGGTAAATGGATGGAACTGATCTCCAAGTCTCTTTAAAAATTCTAGCTCTCGTCGGCCCATGGACCAGAGCGGCCCGGGTTCGGTTCCGCTAAGGGCACGTACCTCAGTTGCAGTTTGTCCCCAGCCTATGTTGGGGTCGTGCAGGTGGCAACCAGTCGATGTGTCTCTCACATGGATGTTTCTCTCTCTCTCCCTCCCGCTCTATCTGAAGATAAATGTAAAAACGTCCTTGGGTGAGGACAAAAACATTAAAAATTCTAGCTCAGCCCAGCCACTGTGGCTCAGTGGCTGAGCATCGACCCTGCACCAAGAGGTCGCTGGTTCAATTCCCGGTCAGGACACGTGCCCAGGTTGTGGGCCAGATCCCCAGTGGGGGGCATGCAGGAGGCGGCCAATTGATGTTCTCTCTCATTGATGTTTCTATTTCTCCTTCTCCCTTCCTTTCTCTGTAAAATCAATACAGGAAAAAAATTTCTTTGTTTAATTCTAGCTCAGATCACATAACAGTCATGTGTTCTGGTTCAAAACGGCACCACCGCCTGCCAAGTGGCCGCTGGCCATCTGCTCCATTTCTCACGAGAACCGGGAATGAACGCGGGCTGGGCAAAGCCCAGAGAACAGGCGTGGCCACCACCCCGGGAACGGGAGCCATGCGGGGGACAGTGAGCACCCCACGCCACAGGAACGGGGAAGTAAGTTCCCACAAAACTTTAAAACACAAAACAGCCCTGGCCAGCGTGGCTCAGCGGCTAAAGCACCAAAGGGTCTTGGGTTCGATTCCTGGTCAAGGGCACACACCTGGGTTGCAGGTTCTATCCCAGCCCCATCGGGGCACATGCGGGAGACAACTAATCGATGTGTCCCTCCCACATCAATGTTTCTCTGTCTCTCTCTCTCCCTCCGTCCCTTCCACTTTCTCTAAAAAAAATTTAATCAATGGAAAAAATATCCTCACGTGAGGATTAACAAAAAATAAAATACAAAATGAACTCCGACAGACAACCCGTACGAACCCACAACGGAAGGTTAACACGAGCTTCCCAGGACGCCACTGTTGCACTCGGAGACCCAGCTCATTTTTCACAAATAGAGGAACCTAAATAAGACTGTGTGAAGGACACGCCGGAAAAGACAAAAATCAACGTCACCTACGAACATCTATGCACCAACTTCTCAGCAAGAGCCCTGGCTCCAGCGTCACCAGGGAGACCGGGAGCCTCGATGCCCCTCCCCCGCCCCCAGGTGCCCCATGACTGCGCCATGGCTCCAAGGTTCAAGTTCCCGCAGTCCCGGGTGGGGCGGGGGAGTTGTCGAAGTGAAGCTTTGGTTCTCGCACTTGAGTCTGAGCTGGTTCACAGGCAGCCCGTCCGCCCCCGGGCCTGCGACAGTTACTGCAGGAATCCAGGCAGGTGCACCTGCTTGGGAAACGCACAGGCGCCCTGCCCGGTGGGCGGCTGCTCTGCCTGGCAGAGCCCCTGGGGAACCATGACGCAGTTACAAAAGCCCAAGGGGCTAGACTTCCACCTCCAGCCCACTGCAGAACCCGCCAACATCACGGGGTACACAAAGCCGGCTCTCTGCCCCCAGACGCCGCCCCTCCCGCACCCCGCGCTCCCTGGCTCGGCGCTGAAATCGCAGCTAAAGGGCCGGTGCGCAGACACGCTGACCGCGGAGGGGCAGCCGCCTCCACCGCCCGCCGCTCGGGGCACTTCCTGGCCTGTTTCTTTCCGGTTTTCTGTTTCCCTTGTTGTGGTCACACAGTCACTGCTGCCCCCCCCCCCCCCCATCGGAGCTTTCTAAACACAGTCATGGCCCCGTCACTGAAAACCTACATCAGTGTTTGAAATGACCGAGCGGTTTGCGTTACACAGACGTCACTGTCGTGCTGGTGCACGTTCAGGATGTTCCGAGCTTCCGCCCCAGAAACAAGGAGGCCCCGTGACGTGTCGTCCTCCTGCGCAGGGCCCGGAGGGTCAGGGCTGGGCCCGGGAGCAGAGACGCAGGCGGTGGGGACACAGGGTGGCGGGAGTGCCCTGTGGGAGGCTGTCTGGGTCCCAGGCACTGGACCGGTGCACCTGGCAAAGGCTGACCTTCAGCTGACCTTGAGATGGGGGTTTTCCTGGGCTACCCAGGTGGGCCCATGGTCACCACAAGGGCCCTTGAAATCAGAAGGGGGAGGCAGGAGGGCCGGTCAGCGGGATGCCCTGGGGGAAAGGCCTGGTGGGGTGGCTGGCTTGGAAGATGGGGAGGGAGCCCCAAGCCAGGCCAGGCAGGTGGCCCCTGGGGGCTGAGAAACAGTGAGGACAGGGAACCACCCCCCCAAGAGCTCCCAGAAAGGGACCAGCCCGCCCACACCTTGCTCATTGTCCGGAGAGACCCATGTCAGGCTTCCGGACCACAGAACTAGACGAGAAGACACGTGTGGTGTTCTAAGCCACAGGGTTTGCGGCCATCTGTGACGGCCGTGCTGGGAGGTGACTCAGCCCTGGGCTGCTGGTCTGGGGCCGGCCACGCGCACACTCACACCCTGGGCACCTCAGACAGCCCTGGGCACCCCGCCCGTCTGGACACAGCCAGTTCCCACACCATCATCTCCAGCCAGCCTTGCCCCTGACTCCAGACACCTGGCTGCCTTCTCGACACCCCTCCTTGGAGCCCAGTACCAAGGCCTCACACTCACTGTGCCCAAAAGAAGCCTGTGGGTCCCTGTTCCCTCTAGCACCGTGTGCCTGCCACACCTTCGCCCCATGACACAAACCACACCGTGAAGCCACCCTGGTCCACATCCCATTGGCAAAGCCTCCCAGCACGGGCTGTCTCCCTCCCCTGCCGCCCCGCCCTGGGGACCCCCTGGGCTCCACCAGGTCTTCTCCAAGGAGCCTGCAGGGGCTCCTTCCCCTCCCCTGCCTCACCTGACCCCTCTGCAGTCTCTCCTCCTCAAATGCGCACCCTACCGGGACCGCCTGCTCTGAGCCCTCCGCTAGGTCATCGCTGGCACTTACGTTTGGAGTGCTTGTCACACAGGGCGGCCGCCCGCATGTCGCACAGGCGCAGGGAGCCCTTGCTGCTGCTGTAGACGAACAGGTTGCAGTGGTGCGGGTGGAATTCGGACGCCGTGATCACCTCCGTGAGGTCCTCCATGTTGGCCGGCTTGATGTCCACGATGTCTGGCCGGTCAAGGAAGGGCGCCCGCTGCTCTGCCTCCCGAGCTCGACGCCCTCGGGCCCCACCCATCTCCCTGACGTACTCGTGGAAAAACACCTGCCCAGAGGGTCCCCAAGCTGCAGCCCTGCATGTGGAACCGCCCGCTGGCTGCCCCTTCCGGGTGCCCATCCGTTGTCCCCAAAAGGCTGGACTTGCCACCTCCCTCCGGACCGGTGCCCTGTCCCCAGTCAGTGCCCTTCAGCTGCCCAGCCCACACGACAGGGCGACTCCCCGCCCTCTGCGCACCTTCCCTGTCAGGAGCCAAGCTTGGTGAACAGCTCCCATCCCCGTCACTCTGTGCACTCTGGCTGAGGGGTGGCACCTGTTGGCTTCCCCCCACCCCGCACCCACTCCCCTTCCCTGCCCACAGCAGCCTCTCCTCTGGAGAAAAGCCCTCTGCCTTCCCGGGCGTTCAGCTCTGACCCATGCCTCCCATCCCCCACTCAGCCGCCACAAGGGCTGAGCATACGGTGTCGGCTGTGGCCGTGGAGGGACCCCAGGACCTGGGACACTGGGAGCACTGGGGTGCCGCTCCATCCTCTCTGCTGGGGGGTGAGGTAGGCAGAGGGGTTTGCATTGGAAGCCCTGGAGCCTGCAAGCAGGGTGGACAGCGTGGAGGACGAGGGGCACAGAAAGGTCGGGCAATCTCTTTTGAACCTGGATCAGGCTGCACCTGAAGCCATACCCCCTGGACTGTTCAGTATGGGAGCCATTGACTCCATTTTCTGCTCAGGGTCAAGATTTTGATCCACAAAGGAAGCATCCCTGACTGGCCCTGGAGCATGCACCAGCCTCTTTATCCACCTTCCTGGCTTCAGATGCTCCTAGTCGACTCGCCCAACAGGCACTTCCCCTCGACAGGGACGCCCTTGGGCTCCGGCCTTCCGGCCCTGCCTGGGGGCCCAGGGGGCAGGGTCTGCAGCCGAACCCCAGCTCGGCCAGCTCTGCCGTGTGATCGATGGCGAGTCCCCCAGGTCTGCGTGCCCAGTTTCCTCGTCTGTGAAACGGATGAACAGTTCTACCCTCGGGTCTGCTGTGAAGACGAAGAGGCACGGCCCTCGGCACACCGCCTGGCACACCTCAGAGCTCAGTGCCGGCAGCTGCCGCTCTTCCGGTGTGACCTCAACGCCGGCGGAAACCCTGACGTCTCCTGTCGGCCCGTTCCCCCACCCAGGCTGCTCTCTCCCAACAGAAAGGGACATCTGTGAACTTCTGTAAACTTGAGAGTTTATAAAATATCAGGAAAATGTTGAACCTGTGCGACCAGAGGCACCGAGAGGGTGTCTGTGCTCACCCTCAAATCTTGCTTCCTGAAAGCACACCATCAACCAGAAACTTAGAATCACACGGAGACACACGGAGAGGACGAGGCGCCACGTCGCCGACGCCTGAAATGGTTTCCCTGGAAACGGTGGTTTCCCCGCACGATACGAAGCAGCGATGAAATCACAGAAAATGGAACTGAAGATTGAAAGAGAACAGGAGCCGAGATGTCCGTGAGGCTCATTCCATCAGCATCCGTCCCGCGGTCCCTCTGACAGCCCAGGACTGCGGTTGGCGCAGCCCGAGCCTCGGGGCCCTCCTGCTGTGTCCCGGAAAGGACTCTGGGTACAGGGGTTCTGGGGAAGACAGTGCGAAACACACAATGTTCATGTGACCGGGTGGGAGGCCAGACCGCGTCACGATCAGCGTGTGTCTCTGAGCCCCGGGCCAGGTGGACACCCAGCACTCTGGGGAGCGTGGCTCCTTCGGGACCGCTGGCCCAGCTCACCAGGGACCTGCCGTGCCCGCGGCCTGGCCCTCTGGTGGGAGAGGAGTGGGTTACCGAGTGGGCCGTCCCTGTTCAGCCCCTTGGTCACAGCTCAAAGCAGGGGCCTGGAGACGGACTCCTGACAAGGGAAGAAGCCTTTGTACAAAGCACAGTTGTGCCCACAGACACCATGAAGGCTCCTCCTGTGCTCCCCGCCGGGGGCACATGCCTGGGATCTTCGAGACACTTGGTCCGCAGCGGCTCTGGCTCTGGCAGTGAGCAGTGCTGGGCTGGAGCCACGGGCTTTGGCCTGGGCGTCCGGTCTCCACTCTCCCTGGAATGGTCAGTCCCACGTGCAAAAGTCATGTCTACCCCGCAAGCCTCAGTTTGCCCCGGCTGCAAAACGAGGGGTACGGCATAACCCCAGAGGGCCCTCTCATTTCAAGGGCGGCCCCCGGTGGCCTCTCCTTGGGGCATGACCAGCTGCATCAGTCCACCTGTAGACGGGGCTTGACCAGGTTCGCCGCAGGACTGGCCTCCCCTGGGTACGAGCGTAACAGACTTATCGCCGAGCCCCCCCCCTGCGAAGCTGGATGAATCATTCACGCTCCATTTTCCCACCCAATTGTACCCCAGCTGTCTGATGGGTTTTTGTCCAGCGTCCAGTCTCGCTTGGCAGCTAGGAGTGACTCTCCCCACGAGGAAAGTTTGGCAGACACAGGTGGGCAGACAGAGGGGCGGGTCACGCGGGGCCTGAGAAGGAGAGAGGGTAAACTCGCTCCAGTCCCACACCCCTCTACTGAGCGCCAGGTGCCTTCCTCCAGTGCTGGGTGGAGTCGTAACCCCCAGAATGGGTGCCCCCCTCCTAGCCCTCACGGTCTGTGAATGTGGCTTCATTGGGAAAACAGGACCTTTGTTGATATAATCAACGTAAGGACCTCGAGAAGAGATTGTTCTGGATCCAGGGGGGCCCTACATCCAACGGCAGGAGTCCCTACGAGAGACACAGAGAGGACAAGTGACAACGAAGGCCGAGGCTGGGTGCGCAGCTGCAAGGAAGGCCGGGCCTCCAGGAGCCGGAAGGGGCAGGCGGAGCCGCTCCCCGGGCCTGCAGAGGGGGCATGGCCCTGCCAACACTTCCTTTCCCACCTCTGGCCTCCAGAACCGGAGAGAGCACATTTCTATTTTTTTAAGGCCCCAAGTTTGCAGATATTTGTGATGGTGGCCACGGAAATCTCAGCCCCGCTGGGTGCCTCCTGGGGCCGGAGAACAATGGCCTGGACACAACGCTAGCACCATGGACAGAGGCACCTTCCTCCCCATCCATCCAGACCGCACGCCCAGCCCCCTGCACCAGGCCAGGAGTCAGGGTAGCTTCCTGATCCTTCTTCTTTCTCTCTCCTTCTCCACACCCAACGCCTCCAAGTCCTGGGCTGCTCCCCTGCAGATCTGTGCCCCTGACTCAGCCCTGAAGGAGGGGTGTCTGCCTGGCGGCCTCCTCCCTGTCCACTAGAGAACTCAAACACCTTGCTGGGCCTACAAGATCACCTGACCATGGCTCAGGCCACACCTTGGGGACTCAGCAAAGCTCAGATACAGGGGTTTGTCCCGCCCCAGAGAGATGTCTGTGACTCCTCCTGCCAAGGACACAGGGAGGGGACGGGATGTAATCCAGGCGGGCCTTCTGCAGAGTCATCAGGTTTGCAGAGGCTTTTATAGAAACGCCTTTGTCTCCTCCTGCCAAGGGCATCACCGGACGTCCTGAAGCCAGCTGGGGTCACACCAGCACCGTGCACTGTCCCCGACCCTCAGTCCCAGAGCTGTGTGGGTCCCGCTTGGAGGTCACCGGGCATCCAGTGGCCCTCATCCACTGAGCTGTACCTCTGTGAGCCTCGGTCCCCCTCCTGCATGGGGCACAGGCACAAACCGCCACCACTCGTCCACCGGGCAAATCCTACCGACCATAACGAAGTCAAGCGCGTGAAATGAACAAACACCCTTGGTTTGTTCTGTGAGAAGCTCAAGCGAGGACTGAACATGGGGAGCCGCCCACAAACCCCAGGAAGCACACACGTGCTCACCAAGGTCGTGACAGGCATCAGTGGTGATGCCTCAACAAATGGCTCTGCAGACACCCGGCTAACGGGACTCAGAGACCACCAAAGCCCCCAGAGTCGGTGAGGGCAGCGCCCCCCGGGAGGCCCCTCTGATCCACGAAGGACTGGCCCGGGCTGCACTCAGAGGTGGCTGGGCAGGGACAGAATCCTGGCTCCCTAACTTCCAGCCCGCGCTCCTCCCTCCGCCCCCCTGTTCAGGAGGGATTGCATCTCCACCCGACCTGCAGCTCCCCTGTGGGGTCAGCACCCCATGGGGACACAGTGGCTGGGCTCACTGGACGGGCGTGTGCCCCCACCAGGTGGATGTTGAGAGTGGGCAGGCTCGATGATGAGAAGGATGTGGCCTTGGGCTCCATTGATCTATCTGAGCAAAGCATGCTCTCCCCAGCTTCTCGGCAGGAAGTCTCTCAGGATGGGAGAGGCTGTTTCCATGGTGACAGCAGTCGAGGACCGAGGATGGAGGCAGCTTTGCCAAGGGCCCCGAGGGGCCGCCCACACGGGCCCCCAGGGACTCAGGGGGTGTGCAGGCACCCTGGGAGGCCTTCTGCACACGGATGGAATCCCACTGGGCCACAGCCAGCAAAGCAGCTTCTTTTTCCAGCAAATTCTCTGCAGAACATGACCCAGCTACAAGCGAGAGCTGTAGGCACCCAGACCAAACCGTGTCCGTCACACAGGAGGAGTCCTGGCCACCTGTGTCCGTGATGGCTCTTCCAGGCTGCCGCAGCAAAACGCCACAGCTTGGCTGTCGGACAACAAGAAACTACATCTTCACACTCTGGACGCTAGAGGCCTGAGGTCAAGGTGTTAGCAGAGCTGGCCTCTTTGAGGCCTCTCTCCTGGGCCTGCACATGGCCACCTGCTTGCTGTCTGCACACGCTCTTCTCTCTGTGTGCCCATCCCTGCTGTCACTGTGTCCAAACCTCCTCTTGTAAGGACATCAGTCATATGAGATCAGGGCCCACCCAATGACCTCATTTACCTTAATCACCTCTTTAAAGACAGTGTCTCCACACAAGTCACATTCTGATGTCCTGGGGGTGAGGACTTCAACATGCAGCTTTTGGGGGTCACAATTCAGCCCACAACTGCCTCC